TATCCATCAAGCTGGCCGTAGAGGAGTGGAGGCATTGGCTGTAAGGGGCAGCCCATCCATTCACCGTGCTGACCGATCATAAAAACCTCCAGTATCTTCGTGAGGCTAAACGTCTAAATCCCCGCCAAGCACGATGGGCGTTATTCTTTACCAGGTTCAACTTTACCATTACGTATCGCCCTGGTCCCAAAAACGTCAAGGCAGACTCCTTGTCACGCATTCATAGTCATGTGGAAGGCCCAGAAGAACCGGAAAGTATCATCCCACCAAGGATGATCGTCAGTCCAATTGAATGGAGTGCCCCTTCAGTGGCCTCAAACACGGCTCCCAACAATCCGCCGGGCTGCCCTCCAATCCGCCGGGCTGTCCTCCAGGATGCCAGTATGTACCACGAACACAACGCACCCCACTGATTCACTCTGCTCACTCCTCCCGAGGCACTGGCCATCCAGGGGCCAACAACACCCTCTCGCTGCTACGAGATCGCTTCTGGTGGCCCAATATGGCAAGGGACGTGAGAAGGTTCGTGCAAGGATGTCCAGACTGTGCCATGTCCAAAAGCCCGCGCCACTTACCATCTGGCAAACTCTTTCCTCTACCAGTGCCGAATCGCCCCTGGTCACATCTAGGAGTAGACTTTGTGACGGACCTGCCACCCTCTGAAGGTAACACATGCATCCTGGTATTAGTTGATAGTTTCTCAAAGTCATGTTGCCTTCTGCCCCTCAGAGGTCTCCCCACTGCACTGGAAACGGCGGAGCTTCTCTTTAACAAGGTCTTCCGCTATTATGGCATTCCCGAAGACATCGTCTCAGACCGGGGACCTCAGTTTATTTCAAAGGTATGGAATGCTTTTTTCAAACTCCTAGGTGTGACCGTAAGCCTCTCGTCCGGATATCATCCAGAGTCGAATGGTCAAACGGAGAGGAAGATTCAAGAGGTGGGGCGATTCCTGCGAACCTTCTGCCAATGCCACCAGGATTCCTGGAACCAGTTCCTGGGCTGGGCCGAGTACGCCCAGAATTCCCTGCGACAGCCTTCTACTGGTCTCACTCCCTTCCAGTGCGTGCTCTGGTTCCAGCCTCCACTGTTCCCCTGGTCCGGGGA